ACGCCAGGTCTGCAACTGGATTAATAATTCAGGCCTGACTTTAAATGTAGCCATATCAGTTGACTCTTCCTCTTCACTCAGAAATCTGGCCTTGTGCAGCTGGCAAATCGAAAGATCAACATAAAGATCCATGCCCTACCCAACTAGAGAAGATTAAACGCGTATGTGGGATGATCGATAAACATTCGAACTTCGATTCCTATCTTCACGAAGGCATGCCAGTTTGTACTCGCTGTGTCCTTGTTTAGAACCTAGAATAACTAGTGTAAATCAGAAAGTACCAAGCCTGTTTGCAACACCCAGCATCCTTCCGCTTCCGTTATGTTCATATTCAGAATTCCCACTGTCACTACCCGTAATTTCGTTCACTACTTATCACTCAGGTCCATGAGCGATCATAGGCATGGATAAATTTTTTTCAGACCATTTGTGACTGTTCAGGGATGCTTTTTCACTTCTTTCAATGGCGCTTAGGTGGTCTGCTTAACAGACGGATCATGGAATCCAGAGGAACAGAAGGTTACATCCTTCATAGGGTCTTCCCTGTCATATACAAAAGCGCAACGTGTGTGATCAGAACGGCGACCGAAAGTCGTAGAAAGAAAGACCGCCTGGTCACAAAAATGTACCTTGAGAGCGTAGAAAATGGACACAAAGATACTAACGATTCTTGCACTTATTTATTTATATGTCGCCTACCTTATTGTCGGCTGCCACCGTTCTGAGGACATTTTAGAAATGAGTTTCAGACAAGTCAGTAAGAAGCGGTCGTTTGCAAACGGCAACAGTTGCAGCCCAAAACCCTTTACTTCGATATGCTCACTTTCTGATGATTCTCCCACGTACACACTAAATAGAAGAGGGAACAGCACTCGTTTTAGGCGGAGTCCGCTAGTGACATTGGAAGGTTTCGACTGTCTGTCACTGACAATGAGGTAACTGCCGCTGTGAACATCCAGCTTGCCGTTAATCCCGTCTCTCCACAGGCAAGTTCAGTTTACTGCACGGAACCTTATCCAATTCTTTCTTGGTCTAAAAGCACTAATGCCAAATTTGCGAACTGAAAACTGTCTTACAAATATGTTATGATACAAACCCTGGTAGATGATGCTTCGAATAGAGCGAAAGCCACACTGCTCTTTTTGACTTTTGGAGTTGACCATTTGGGGCATCGTTTTTTGATCAACGTACAATAAACATATCATTGATTATCAGAAGGCTAGGGGTCAAATAATTGGAGCATGACCTCAAATCTTCCTACACCTGGGGCAGTATGATCAGTCTCACCGGTCTTTTGAGGTTTTCACCGTATGTAATTTTATAAGCAATTGTGAACCACATCATGCTTTTCCATCTGAAGGTTTAAACGTAACCGATCGTATTTCTTCTATTTAACCAACCTTACTCTTT